TTTTTTTTTTTTTTTTTTTTTTTTATAAAATTACAATAAAAGGATACGATTATTCAGAATCAACAATTCTTTTTAATGTCCTACATATATAGGAGACAATGTATAAAAAGTTTACCTTCCAGGAACTCATTTTGCATAATTACTTGAGGCTGATCAATAGCGTAGAATTATTCAAGCATTTACCGGACACCGTGATCGTACAATTAACAAATTCATTACACTCTGAGATTTATATGACTGGCGACGAGATCGTTAAAGCTGGTACTCGCGGTGAAGCTTTGTATTTTATCTCTTCTGGCACCGTAGCAGTTTACACTATAGTGGGGAAAGAAGTAACGTTAACATTATCATCTTCATCAACTCTTTTCTCATATTTCTTATTCGCCTGAAACATGAAGGTTTGCCACTTGGAAGACGGAAGTTATTTCGGAGAGATTGCCTTGGTGATGGACACTGAACACAGAATAGCAACCGTAGTCGCAGTGGAAACTTGTGAGATCTGTGTGTTAAATCGCCACGACTTTCAGAGATTCATATCGCCGTATCCAGATCTCTTGAATCGTTTGCAAAACGTTGCTCTCGAACATCTGAACAAGAGTCTCCTCTTGGACTCGGCACGAGATTTTGGAACGTCTATTACGCCGCAGTACATTAACATAAGCAGCATAAAAAGCAAAAAAATGTAGCTCCGTTAAAATTCCATAATTCGAATTAAATTCAAATTTTCAGATGCAAATATTACTTTCTATTTTAATTTCAATTTGTTGCGCGTGTTTCTCATCTCGCGTGACATTCTGATTTATTAATCGAATGAAATAGAAAATTCGCCGTAATTTACCTTGTTACAAATTAACAACGATAAACTCTCCGCCTGTACGGATTTCTATACGACTGTTGATAAACCGACATGAGTCTCCAGTGTTCTGGAAAACCAGCGTCTCTACATCCATTGGCTACACTGAATGGAGGAGTTAGAGTGTCGATGCAAAAGGACTTCCTAGTAGAAGGTGATTTTGGTTTCGATATCGTTGCCTTGCTTTCGCCTCTTTGATGGCCTGTGCCAGGCTTTTCGGTACCCAGTGCCAATCCAACAGCTGATTTGATCAATCTAGGATCTTCGCGAGTGTTCCTTGTTCGGCTTTTGCAGGCGACGCACTTTCTGAAATGTCCTGCCGTTGGTCGTTCTTCAACTTGAACTTGCTTCGAAACTTTCATTGCATTCAAGCTTTTACAAAGACAATCGCAACAACATCTGCTGCTTTTATTATCCGCTTTCTTATTTTCGTTTCTCGAGCGATTCGAATCCCCCTGTAATTTGCAGTGGCGTCGGCCACATTTGCAACTCTTGTCACACCTCGAAGTTCCAGAACTGGTACCATGTTGAACAAGAGTAAATATAGCTGGCGCGAGTCCACCTTCTGAACCATCGATGTGAGTAGGCCTAGACGGTTCATAAACTGGATTTAATGGAGTTTCCCAACAAATAGCTAAGTCCATCTTCGTCTTGGGCTTCTTGCAGCCCAACACTGGCCCGTAGCGTTTGGCCAAGCTCGTAGAATGATCTTCCATTTCGTGCTTGCAATGTCTGCAGCATTTGCTCGATGCGACTGCATCGCGACGTGATTCTTGTGACTCGACATTTTTAAAAACAGAATCGTCAACTCTATCAGGGAGCGGTTGATGCTCCAAGTTCTCTGCATGAAGCTTCTTCGCTATGGCGAATTGATCGTAACAGGCTGATCGATTCTCTGGTAGTGGCTGCGGAGGATCTCCCTCAACGTCTCTCCCTCTGCAACCGTCTGACACATTCTTGTCCAAGGAAGATATTCTTAAATTTCCCGAAACGTATCGCGGTTGGCAGCATGCGTGTGACTCGCTCTCCGAGGTGATTAATTTCCCAGGACAATGAACGCAACACTTCTGACTCTTCATATCTATCGGTCTTCATTTTCCTTCCTCTCTTCTCGGACAAGTTAATCCATAAACATGATGTTTCAGGTCGAGCATGAGTTCCGGCAAGTTACTCGTGATGAAAGAATATCAATGAAATGTTTTCCGAATTTCGATGTTTTGTCGAAGATCTCGTTTAGCGAAATTCAGGTCGCTCAGCTTGAACCAGTGACTGTAGGAATGTTGCTTTCTTATCTGAGAGTTAACGAGGATGGTTGTTTACTTGACAACGGGGTAGCTCGATAATCACGATGCTGCACATAGTTATATCCAAACCAATCTGCGTCTGTATAATTTTAGAATTCAGAGAATGCCTCGAACTATTAATCTCTGAATTGAGGACAACCTCAAGAACAACACAGAGGAATTATTCAATTCTGTTTATCTCAATTACGATCTTTATATATAGCATAAAAACTGAAACAAGTTTTCCAAGTTTTAAAATATCTTAGCAATTACTCAGCTCTCTCGCTCTCTCGTTTCTCGGAAACGCGAAGATCGTACGGCTAGATTGTTTGTACGCGGTAAAATAAAACGTCTCCAATCTGCTGGCACGTTAGAATTGAATTCACGCGAACAGAAAGCTTTCTCAATTAGTCTACGATTCTTCGTATCGTCACACGATGCAATTAGCCACGTATGCGTGACTGTAACAGATTCGGAAATGTTTCGTTGGAATCACCGGTGATGGCTGGAAAATACGATGAATCTGTTTTTATTTATATCATTATATAGTATTACAGATTTGGAACGTTCGCTTCCAAGTACATTGATTATTATAAGTCTTCCAATGAAATGAAAGTAAAATGAAAATCTAATCTGAAAACTTTTTAGAAGTTTATTATTTTTGAAGTGTAATTTTTAGAAGGTTTATTATAGTCTTCCAATGAAATGAAAGAAAAATGAAAATCTAATCTGAAAACTTTTTAGAACAGACTAATAACTTGCGTTATTGTTAGAATTCCACAAGTATTTCCTTAGAAAAATTAATTCTCTGGAAATTAGTAAAAGTTTCGTACGTCTCGCTAATTTCCCCGAGAAAATTTGCATATTATTTATAGCTGCATATCGATGATCTCGCAAGATCCCATTGGAGCAATGCGATTCCCCTCCAACCGCGGGAACCTTGGCATAAAGCGTCAGAGCGCGTCTTTAAATGTAACTGTGAGAACACATGGCAGTTGCACTTTGCACGCAAATCTTACAGCATTTCTTTTTACTTTGTTTAAAAATCATTTAAAAAGAAAGTCTTAATACAGTTGAACAACAAAGAGCTGTATGTGATAGATTGCAGAAACGTGGTTGAAAAGTGGTTGTTCACGATAAAAAAAAAAAAAAAAAAGTGATCGTTAATTTCATTGCACTTTCATTT